CCCCAAAAAAGAAGGCTTTCATGCCGCCGGTACGCCCTGTTTTTTCTCCTCGCTCTTCGCTCATGCCGCCAACTCTTTTCGACTTGAGTCTTGAGCAACAAAAAGAATGACACGCCAAGCCGTCGCCCGATCCTCCGCTTGGAATCCACCATTGTTTTCATCCATTCTTGGCTGATTACTGTCCCGACACAGGCTTCCACGAGGGCATGAGGGCGCGCGTCCGAACGGACGACGGGCAGTACTCGGAATGGTTCGACGTGGGCCAAGACCTCCGACAGGGATGCAACCTGGCCCCGCTGCTGTTCAACTTGTTCTTTGCCGCGATGCTCATGGTCACCGTGGCCGAGTTCGACAAGGACCCCAAGGTGACGGCGGACATGGTCAAGATCGGGACACAAGTGGAGTACACGGGCAAGAAGGGCAGGTCGGCGGGGAATAAGACGACGGTGGCGACTGACGCGGAGGCCCTGTGGGCCATGCTCAACGCCGACGACGCGGCCATCGTCTCGCGCTCGCCGGAAAGTCTCGAGAAGATGATGTCGGTCATCGTGCGCGTGGCCGGCCTGTTCGGACTGATGGTGTCGGAGCCAAAGACAGAGATCATGTGCATGCTGCCAAAAGAGATAGAGGAACGCCCGTTCACGGTCAGCGCCGCCGGCCAGACGTACAAGCAGACAGATCGGTTTGTGTACCTCGGACGTACCATCTCCGCGGACGGGAAGGCCGACCGGGAGATCACGAGCCGCAGCTGCCGAGCGTGGAAGTGCTACCGCCGGAACAGTGCTTCGATGTACGACAGGCGACGGGCCAACCGCCAGCTCAAGATCCGGCTACTCCAGGCTGAAGTGGTGGAGACTCTCCTATATGGGTGTGCCTCATGGAGCCTAACAGCGGAGCACTACACGAAGCTCAATGGGACCCACCGCCAGTTCCTTACACGGTGCATCGGCTGGAGCAAGCGGAAACGGTCTTCAACATGGGCTACGAAAAGGAAGGGGGGAAATCGAAAGAGAGCGCCAAGGACCCGGAGGTGTGGTACAACAAGGTCGAGGACGGGGCGGCATGGTTCATGAGGAAATGGCACAGGCAGGAGGCGGAAGCGTCCGCGAAGCGCCAGCGCGCGAGGGAAGCAGAAGCAGAGAGTACGGCCATCTCAGGACCGAAGAGAAAGAGAGCCGGGGAAGCGGCGGTGGGGGGGAAGAAACGGCGACCGGGCACTGCTGTAGAAGCGAGTTGTGCGGCCGAGGCAGCACTTGTGGCGAACGATGTACCCGGCTGATGTTGTTGCGCCCTGTTTCCTTCCCTGCTGTATGCTATACTCCTTTATGGATGTTCTTGTATTGCCTTCGGCCTCTGTGCTGTGTTTCTTTTTAATGTCCTCCCTGCCTACTCTGCTGTGTTGGGTACATTGATCTCGCTTTTGCTATTGCTTTTGTTTTTGTACGTCTGGCTGTCTGCCCATCTGCCGCCTCTTTGTACTGTTTGCTCCGTTACTCCCATGCCCTGGCGCGTAGCGCCTGGTGCTGGTACGTTACCCTTTGATTTTTTTCTCTAGGCGGGTGTGGGAAGCGTCCTCCTTCATTTTTGTTTTTGTTGTATTTTGATCGGTTTCCGAGGGCTCTTTCCTCGAACGGTCGGTGCGGTACCTGTTCTTTTCTTTTTCCGAGCTCGGTAGTAGGACGCCAAGCTGCAATGCACGTCGTGCAAAGACTATATCATCGGTGATACGCACATGGGTACAAGTTGTTACTCTGGCACCGAGACGACAGTGCGAGAGGTAGAGAGACAAGAGAGGATTCTACACCACACTCGTGTATGGCCATCTCTACACGCGCGGCCGTGATGATAGCAAAAAGAAAAAAAGTAGACCCCCCCCTCCCGGTGTTCGCCATCGGGGTTGGGTTTTCGTCGCTTGGCACGACGTTGTAAAACAAGCCGCCCCCCTGGTGTTTGCCACCGGGGTTGGGTTTTCGTCGCTTGGCACGACGTTGTAAAACAAGCCGCCCCCCTGGTGTTTGCCACCGGGGTTGGGTTTTCGTCGCGTGGCAGCGATGTTGTAAAACAAGCCAATCACTTCGCGAGAAGGGCAACCAGGTTAAGGCTTTTCTGTTGCATTTGGATTTGTTTTGTTGCGGTAACCTTGAATGGTGGTCGAGTAGATTATGTTGTGCGGGGTGAAGAACCCTCACTCCGCGCAAAGGGGATGATCACACTACGTTGTGCTTACTTGGCCAAGCAAAGCACCTCGAGGCAGTTACACAGTGCTTACAACTGTCTCTGGAAGTGAAAGCACCAGAAAGTAAATTAAGTCATATGCAGCTGTCATCCGTACGCAAGAAAGTAAGCACAAGATGCCGAACACCGTAAGCGGGATGCAGCGCACCCTGCATGCGACCCTCCGAATACCTCACGGCGCTTCGCGCTTGGTGATGTGAGAGCCTGGTCCGGTGAGATCCCGGCGTGCTCCGTCCCGGTCTTGTAGGGATGCGAGGTCAATGGTCCAACGACTACGGTATGCATGACTATCAGTACAACCCCCTCCCCCCCCCGGTGTTTGCCATCGGGGTTGGGTTTTCGTCGCTTGGCAACGACGTTGTAAAACAAGCCAATTCACTTCGTGAACTCGGCAACCAGGTTACCTTTTTTTTTTTCCTCCGTTTTTTTTTTTGGCGGTAACCATAATGGTGGTCGAGTAGATCATGTTGTGCGGGGTGGAGAACCCTCACTCCGCGCAAGGGGGATGATCGCACCACGTTGTGTTAAAATGGTCAAGCACCCTCGAGGCAGTTACACAGTGCTTACAACTGTCTCTGGAAGTGAAAGCACCAGAAAATAAATTAAGTCATACGCAGCTGTCATCCGTACGCAAGGAAGTAAGCACAAGATGCCGAACACCCTTAGCAGGATGCAGCGCACCCTTCATGCGACTCCCTGAATATCTCACGGCGCTTCGCGCTTGGTGATGTGAGCGCCTGGTCCGGTGAGAACCCGGCGTGCTCCGTCCCGGCTTTGTAGGGATGCGAGGTCAAT